TATGTCGAATGAATTATTATAATTTTTGTAATATTTTACTGCTTAGAGGAACCTCAGAAGATTTTGCATATCCTCTGTTGATCTAGTTTTCTTTAAGCAAAAATAGAGTAGGGAAGTAGGTCAGTGCCTGTGCTAAAAGCAAAAAGCAAGTACTCTCATTTTTTCCCCCCAAACATCATTATATTTTCATCTTGGCTCTGAGACTGATACCACCAATGCCCGCTGGCTTGGTGCTCTCTAACTTGTGGTCCGATTCCATATGGCATCTGTCCTAGAGGAGCCTTACATTTGGCTCCTTGCCAAGAGCAAAAGCAGAATTGGCGTTCAGCGTCTTGTCGTTTGTAGGTGAGGTGCCAACGGAGATGCGTGTGGTTCTGTCGAGGGCCTGGAAGTGGCCACGGAGTCTACAGGAAGCCTCACGCTAGAGCAGCCCTGTTTATGGGATACTAAGCAACCACAGGTGGTCTTTACGTCTGTGTCCAGGCTCTGCACAGACCTCTTCTCTGGGGTGGGACATCGGAAAAGCCACTCTATCTTCATGACTTGCTGTTGCGTCATTTGCAAAATGGGGATGAAAATGTCAGCTTTGCGGGGCTGTTGCGGTATCTTATGTCACGTACCTGGCAAAGTTTTCTGGCCGAGAGTAAGCTCTCAATAAACATTTGAATTTGCAGTTAATTCCTGCAATGTCCTGGGTGCTGAGGATGTCTAGGGAATGCACAGAAGTGAGCTAGTCTGATTTCCTAAGCCCGAAGTCAGATTCTAGTAAATAGAAGATCTTCCTGAGGTTTGTGTTATCTGCTCCCGTAATTACCCCTACGTGAAGAGTGCCCAGGCTCTCCGTGGCCTCTGGCAAGTACCCCCGAAGGTTTAACTGTTGGACACATAATTTCTGGCTTCCTTAGAGGTGTCGACACGTTCAGCCTCATGAGGACAAAAGAAGTCAGTAAGTCTCTGACTTCTAAGAATGAGCATCAGCCAAAAGAAAGCTGGGAGTCCAAAGGAGGAAGAGCTAAAGGGGGGCCTGGGAGGGCTCAGTCGGTTGAGCATCTGACTTCAGCTCAGGTCATGATCTCACCGTCTGTGAGTTCAAGCCCCACATCAGGCTCTGTGCTGACAGCTCAGAGCCTGGAGCCTGCTTCAGATTCTGTGTCTTCCTCTCACTCTGTCGCTCTCCTGCTCATGCTCTCTCTCGCTCTCTCTCTCGCTCGCTCTCTCTCTCTCTCTCAAAATATTTTTTTTTAAGTCCAGATAAACAAAGGAGGAGGAGCTTGCATGCGTTCGAGCCAAGTTAACCAGTCTGTGGTAGTACCATTAGGATCCAGGTGTGGAATCCAGCAACATGGGGTCTGTGGGGCTAGGACCACCTGTCCTGCACACAAGCTTTTGATTGAGAAGCTCTGTTCTTGCAGCGGTTCATAGGATAACTAGTCATTATTAGATTGACTTCCATGCTTTTCATGCTCTTAGCATTTGATGGTGATCTTTGGAACAGTTGTTTGCAAAATGGCAAGTAGTTGAGAAATGATGTGTAGATGTGTCTGAGAGGCATTCATGGAAGTGACCCTGTGGTGATAGAGAGGAAGGGGGTGTGGAGATGGAGACATTAAGTTATTATTGAGAAAATGCGGCTTTTAACATAGTCTTAATGGACTGTCAAGTTCTGCCCTTGGCCCCCTCCTTTTCACAGATGGTTGAAAGGTGTGTGTGCGTGTGTGTGTGTGTGTGTGTGTGTGTGTGTGTGTGTTGCCTTTTATTCGGCAGTATGATTCCAGGGACCTAATGGGATTTGCTCCTGGCCTTGTCTTCTCTGAGATTTACCCTGAGCCATTCACTCTCAGCCCACGGGAGACCTGACACAGTGTTTGGCCACATGATGGATTAGAAATATTTTGTGCTTTGGAGTCCACTGGGCCTAGGTTTGAATTCTCCTCTCACAATATGTAAGCCAGTAATCTTAGGAAAGGAACTTCTTCAATATTTGCATCTAGAAAATACTACTTTCTGATAGGATTGTTATAGAGATCACTCATAATGAAAGCAAAGACCCTGACACCATACCTGGCATGTAAATCCTCACTAAAAGATACATTATTATTATTATTTAGGGTAGGAATTGTGTTTGAGTCTCTGCTAAAAAAAAAAAATGGAATGGAAAAGAAGGCTTGTAATGGTCACTCACTCTAGTGTATCACAAGCGCAAAGAAGAAGAGACTCACAGGCAGAAAAAGCTAACACTTCTGAGACACTTACTGTGGACCGTGTTCTGTAATGAACACCTGGCTCTGTGAGGTTACGTCTGTTGCTCCCATTTTACAGATGAAGAGTTGAAGGCCCAGAGTGGCCCAGTCAGGAAGTACTGGTGCGAGGATTCAGAGCCCGTGCCCTGAGCCCTGGCAGCCTGCCGCCTCAGGATGATCAGAGCTCTGAAGGCATCCCTGCAGGACCGCTGATAGGAGAAGGGTTATAAATACGCACTTACCGATATAAAGAGCAAAGGCGTAAGGTACAGGCCCTCTTGTCCGCTTCCCTCCCTTTATGTGCCTCCGTGAGTATTTTTGGAGGAAATGAAAACAGCCCCTCATTGGGAGAGCACTCACGGAATGCTTGCTCTAGCCTAACTCCAGACATTAGGACTAATATCCCGGCACCGAACTCCTCCATTGTATTCACCGTGCTCTTTACAGACAGGATGCAACAGCCCCAGTTTGGGAACTTCCGTTCCCTGTTAGCTGAGACCTGTGGCAATGCCTTCCTCTTTTCATCCTAGCTGATTGTCAGCAGCGGTAACCACAGCCCTTCCTGTCCCAGCACTACATCTTACCACACTCTGGTCTCTCAGCGAGCTGTGAACACCATATTCTGTTCACCATATTCTGGGGCCTCGCCACCTCCAGTGAGCCAATCCACCTCCCTCCCCCTGGGGTTACGGTGCCCACTGAATTCTCAAAGGGTGATTTGTAAAGTACAGGTGCCCAGGAACAAGATAAACCATCAACCTCTAATATAAACGACCATTACATTGCACCTAAATTGTTGAAAGAAGATTTTGCGCTCAATATTTTATTCAGCAGAACATTTTTTTGTAACAATAAGGTTGATTAGAGAAAGCTCTGAAAAGTGCTTCAAGTTAGTCTGATTGTTTGTCTCAAGGATTAAAAAAAATAATAAGTGGTAAAATAGAGGGAAGAAGAAGAAGTAGAAATTGAAGCCAGGACCCCAGTGAAGAGTCTTTGCCATCATTTCCCTCTCGGGATTAAATTAAATTCAGGATTCGCGCTTTCCACAGCCTTTTTGTCTGTTTTTTAGCCATCAGGGGTGGGGGGGTCTTTTTTATCCAGGGCTCGGGACTAGCCTAGGTCCACAGCAGATTTAAGGTACATACACTGGTGGTCTTGGATTGTTTGTTTTAACCTAACAAGAAACCCTGCTTGAGATCCTCGACTGTCTTCTAAATTATTACCCCCAAGCCACCCTGAAATGACACCTGCCATTTGCACTGAGGTTTTCGCCCATGTGGCCCCCGTTTGACCCTTCTGCCTCCTGGGCTGGGGGCTGGTGGACCCTCAAGGACATGGCTCTGCAGGTACTTTGTCCGGCGGCTGTGCACTTGTTTGGGCGCGTTTTATTTTCACAGGATGAGATGCTACACCAAGGGCACAGTACTGCAAATGAAGGCTGCTTAGAGCATCCAGCCTTGTCACTTGGCAGAGTAGGTGGGTTTAACCTGCAAGGAGGAGGGTGGTAGATGAAAGAGGTAGGGGATTTTGCTTTATTATTTACTGCAGCTCAAATAGGGATCCAGATACAAAATGAATGCCTTCATCATCGTATTACACGATGTTGACTAGAATTGCAGAATTCTAAACAAGCATTCTTTCTTCCAAATGAGGGTTTTGGAAAACAGCATTAAAGAAGATTGATATGTAAAAGCTTATGGTCTTGCTCTTTGTATCAGCCCCAAATATTTACTGAAGCTAGGAGAAGAAAAGGCAGACTTTCCTCTTTTCTCTCCCAAACGTGTGATTGTTTAGAACTCAAGTGCAACATCTGGAAGTCAGATATACAGAGAGCAATTTATGGAGTGTGAAAGATTTGAAATATTCAGTGTCCTTTAGTGGGAACTCAACTTTCTGGGGCTGCATTTTCCCCCCCCCCACCCCACCCCCCCAGCACAAAGCAGGCATTTCTGAGATCGCCTTTGCCTCTCTGAATTAAACCCTTTGTGCCTGGATCCCATAAACAATGTGCTTTTTAAATGGGAGCCCCCTCCCCGCCCAGGCCCTTTTCTCCAGTGTGGGCAGCCAATCAGCTGCGCCCAGCCGCATTGCTGGAGCACTTTCCATTCTGAGCAGCAACAACGTACTAATTTGATGCACACATGGATGCCTCGCGCACTCTGCAAATTCATCACCAGCATCTTGCATTAGTCATCTGATGGGCTGCCAAGTGTTTCATTTTCTTTTCATGTGACTTTATTATTACCACCTCTCTCCTCTCTTCCAAAAACCTCCAAAAGGCGGGGCCGGAGGGAGGGCGGGGGGTGGGGGGGGGACGGAGGGGGAGAATCCAGCAGAAATCCAGCCCTGCCCTTCTTTGCACACGAGAGCCAATGTGGGGCTGATAACGCTGCGGATGCGTTGGTGGCAGCCTTGCAGAGCGAGACCTGCACTTAACTTGCAGCTGCCTCCCGAGCCGGGCTTCAAGATGTCCACGCCCCGGGTGACAGCCGGCGGGGCGCTGCCCTGTGCTCGGGCGGCGATGCTGAACAGCAGCCTGCAGTGAGAGCCCGCAGCCGCTGCCGCCGCGGAGCAACCTAATGGTGCCTGTGCTTTGTTTTAGTTCATCAAATTTCTCCGACTCATTAGGCACTTTGCCCCGTGCTCTTCTTCCTCCTCCTTCCGCCTCCCCGCCCCCCCCCCCCCCCCCCCCCCCATTTTTTTTCTTCCTGTCCCTCACCGTGCAGCCCTAACTCTGGCTCCCGGTTCCCTTTTTGACAGTAGCGGCACAGCCAACAAGATGAACGGCGCTTTGGATCACTCAGACCAACCAGACCCAGATGCCATTAAGATGTTTGTCGGACAAATCCCCCGGTCCTGGTCGGAAAAGGAGCTGAAAGAACTTTTTGAGCCTTACGGAGCCGTCTACCAGATCAACGTCCTCCGGGACCGGAGTCAGAACCCTCCCCAGAGTAAAGGTACAGACCGTGGGGAACGCACGCGGTGGGGAGGGGGCAGGGCGCGCGGTGGGGGGCAGGGTGCACGGTCAGGGGCATCGGGGGCGCGGGGCCGGCGGGGCTACCCTGCGCCCGCGGGAGGCAGGATCGCGAGGGGGAGCAAGCCGCCGCCGCCGCCGCCGCCGCCGCCCGGGTGCTCCGGCCAGGCGGGCTCCTCCCCGCCCGCCCGCCGGACAGGTGGACCGAGCCTGCCCGGGACGCGGGAGGGAGGAGCGGCGGGAGGGAGGAGCGGCGGGAGCCCGCGGCCGCGCCTCTGTGCAGGCGCGTGATTGCTCTCCCGAGGTCACTTTCTAGGCAGCGCAGGCTCCTCTGGGGTGGAGTAGCTGCCTCTCTAAGGAACCGTGTTTCTCAGCCTTGCGTTTCCTAAGCGAACTCTTTCTACCCCTGCCTTCCCGTTATTGCCCGTGCAATTACGATGGCATTTTACTTTTCCGTAGTCTGTGGGGACCCTGAAATGCCTTCGGAACAGTTGCTGTAATACCACTGGGGTCAGGAATAAAGGGTACACTTTTAAGAGGGACATCAATTCTTGGGGTTTAAACGGGGATCATTGAGTGAAATGTGCCTTTTCGGGCGGGAAGAAGCACCCTAGCGGCCTGAAATCGTTAGCACACCTTAAAGACGCTTGTGGTTTACGCCCTTACCAGTGGTAGGATTCAAGTGTACAACCTGGTGCTTTTTACTGCCTCCATTTTAAGACGAGGGTGATGGGGGGCGGGGGGTGTCGGTTGTTAAAATAGAGACGAGAAACCTCTTTACCGGGTGGTTGAAGCTTCTGTGTTTTGGAGTCCTCCCCTGTAAGCTCCATGCAAACTAAATTTAAAATACCTTCTCCGCTGCTCCCTTTTGGTCTTTGTCGATGTTTTAACCTGGCTTTAGTATTTTTGTTCTTTCTCTGTTCTTGATTTCTTGGACTGTCGAACTAGGGCCCCTCTGTCTTTCAGTAGATCTTGCTCTTTCTTTTTCTCTGCACCTTGGAATTTCTGTCTGCCCTATTATTTTGTTTCTGTGTCGCCTCTCATGAGAGGTCCTGCAAACTCATTGTGTGGCTCGTATGTATACTTTAGTTGAACCCGTGAATGTTAGCACACACTTTTCTGAGTCTCTTTCTTACTGTGAAGGTGAAGGGACAGGGCTAAGTAATCATTAAGACTGATGCTCTGTGACTCTGAGAAATGCTGGGCCATCTCTTGTTCTCTGTAGTTGCTGAGGTCTGATAGCACGTTCGGAAACCTTTGAAAGAATGTTAAGGCCAATACTCGTTTTATAAAGCCGAGCAGACGTTCCTTCGGGTTAAGTTCCTAAGACTCCTGTTCTCTGTCTCAAACCATGTAACACCAAGGGTGTTTTCAAAATAAGGGGAATTTTCTCACCACAAATTTGGTTGTCCCATTATTAGAAAAAATATCAAATATCTGAAATTCGATAGGAGTTAAGACATCACAGACGGGCAATGTTGAGATGTTTGTGGGTCATATTTCCAAATTATTTACCCACATGTGTCCCAAATGTAGAAGACTAGAATTTGTTTTCATAATTAATTTCTATAGTATCCTACTGAGGAAAGAAACTTCAGTGCACCATACCGGAGCAGAGAGTCACCAGAAGGGCCATCCCACCATCTAGAACGGCACCCGCAGAAAACTAGGCTGGGGCAGTAAACTAGTGTTTTAGAACAGTAACCATGAGTTCGTCCTTGTCCAGGAAAATGTGCCTCCAGATTTCAGTTTCTCAGCATTTTTCAGAATGACCTTTGACATAGTGATCAAACCTCATTTACTATTGTCTGATTACTTGCATTGTAGCTTTCACACATGTCTTGCCTTAGCCAAAAAGACCTTCTTTCCATCAAGAAAGTGTGCATGGTCTAGTTTTTCTACCATTTTCTCTTTTCCTCAGTGTTCTGCTGAGTACTGTCTTGAAGAGGCTACATTTGAGACTACACATTTTGTTAACTTCATTCACTATGTCTTGCAACTAACTTCCTTTAAATAGTTTGCGTAAGCCCAGAGTCTTGGAGGGAGGAGGAGACGCGATGAAGGAGCAAACTTTTTTAAGCACATACGCTATGCACCAGGCCCTGTTTTAGGAGTTCTTTCATTTCCTTCTTGCCAAAATCCTGAAAGTAGGCGCTGTTCGTCACGTTTTACAGATGAGAACATCGAGGCTCTGTAAAAAAAAAAAAAAAAAGTTAAGAAGCAAAACTCATTTGACCCAGCTAGTAAGTAGCAGAGTAGGAATTTGGGCACAGTCCGTCTTCATGTACTTGACCTCCATGTGTTCACTTCACTCAGATGAGGCCTCAAGCCAACCTTGTTCTGCTCCGTTTCAGGGTGTGGGCCGGGGGGCCTTCTCCTTTACCTAAATGCTCCCCAAATGAAAGGAGAGAATTCTGACCTTCACGAGCAAGGTTGATTTGGTTCCTGCCTTTGTGTTTATTTAGTTTCGATGCTCATGGGTTTAGATTGTACCTCATTCCCATTCTATCATGGGATAGAAGTTACAGATGAAGGGGCGCCTGGGTGGCTCAGTCAGTTAAGCTTCCAACTTCGGCTCAGGTCATGATCTCACGGTTCGTGGGTTCGAGTCCCGTGTCGGGCTCTGTGCTGCCGGCTCGGAGCCTGGAGCCTGCTTCTGACTCTGTGTCTCGCTCTCTCTCTGCCCCTCCCCTGCTCACGCTCTGTCTCTCTCTGTCTCTCAAAAATAGATAAATGTAAAAAAAAAAAAAAAAATTTTTTTTTTCACAGTTACAGATGAAATCATTCAAATCTTACCTTTGGAAATATAGGTCATTTCCCATTACTGTGAACTCCAAGGCTCACATCAAATATTGCTTGAAGTATGTGGACTGTCAGCCGAAGCTTGAAAGGATTTTTGTTACAGAGATACCTCTGTTTTAACAGTTTTTGTAGTGATGGGATTTGAGCTGTATAATGACATTCCCCTCCGAGGATTACAGCCCTTAGCCGCTTCCATATAGAGAGCAACCACCACCACTTTCCCACCGATGCCTGTGTGCGCCCTATGGTATTTTCCTGTGCACACGTACAGTAGGACCTCACATTTACAGTGGTCCTGTCAGCAGAGTATAGTCGTCGTGTGTTCTCGGGCTGATGTCACATCCTCAGAAATCAGAATTTTGGAGCTCTGTCTGAACACAGTCTAAATAGTCTAAGTAGGGCTTTTGGAGTGGCCGTGATTCATTGCCTCAATGACATTGATAGTTCCAAGGACAGAGACAAAATCCGGTTATTCCGTAATCCAGGTGAATTAGGTTTTTCTCTCGCTTTGCACCTGATGTTCTATTTAAGTCTCAAGGCATAAAAACTTTGTTTTTGTTTTTTGGGTTTTTTGTTTTGTTTTGTTTTAATCACCCTTTAAAAATTAGAGCCTAAGCTGTTCGTGCCTTCTCCCTATTAGCATATGTGTTGACTAGGCAAAGTCCGCAAGCTGCGGAAGCTGGCTGTCCTACCTACTAGGACTCATGGAGAAGATGTTTTATTCAGTAGTTACCGGTCAAGTCTGTGGGTACTGAGAAATACCCCCCAATAGTTAAGAGCATCGGTTTTGAAGTCAGACAAGCCAAAATTCAATTTCTGGCTTGACCACTTCTTGGGTGTCGGCCTTGTGCATGTTTCTTAATCTCATCTGAGGGTGGAGACTGTCCAGTAGGGTCACCCAGATGAAGTTACATGCTTTGTTTGCCTAGAGCTGGGAGATAGTAGGAGCTTGTGTGCTGATGGTTACTGTTATAATTGCTATTATCATCACTGTCCCCAAGAACTTGAAATCTAATAGGGACAGTGAGGCCAGTGCACAGGTAACGAAACTATTGAAGACCATGGGATAAGGGCAGGAAGGGGAGGAGCCTATCTAAACTCTGGAAGTTCAGTGTTGGGGGGGCGGGTGATGAATAATTGGCAGCTGTGGAGATAGGGAGACACGGCAAGTGCACCAAATCCTGAAAAAGAAAAATTGGATTTCAATAAGTAAAGACAGTGTTGAACGTTGCAAGTGGATGGACTGGCCTGATCGTAGGCGTGGGGTGAGAAATGCAGGGCAGGTCCTGGGAACTGTGAATCCTGCCAGAGATGGAAAGAAATGTGAAGTCCATGAAATGAAACGGAAGGGGGGGAGGTCACGACATCTGGAAATAGAAGCTAGGGCCAGTTCTTAAAAGGCCTTAGTTCTCAGGCTTAAATATTAGCATTTTATTGCCTAGATAGTTGAGGGTCAGTGAAGGCTTTGTCAGCACGGGGAACAGAGACCAGGAGGCTGGTGCAGTGTGTCGGCTGAAGCACGTGGGGCCTGAGCAGAGACGCTGCTGGCCCTGGCCGTGGGCAAGGGGGTCCCGAGGGACACAGACCTGAGAGTGTTGGAAAGAAGGGGACTTGATAACTAAATCGAGGCAGGGATGGACAGGAGGACTTTGGCCTCCCTGGGAGGAGTGGAAAAGCAGCCGGCAGTGAAGGGAAGGGGTAAGGGGAGGAATATGGAGTCCGGGTTGGACCGTGTGCTGAGCCTGAGGTATCACAGAAGAGTCAAGAAGGATGTGTGTGGGCCAAGGAAAGCCACTGGCTCGGGTGTTTGGGAGGACGTGACAGCATTTGAGAAGGGTAGCAGTCACAGACTGTGTAGATTTACGTGCAAGGCCGCCCTTTCTAGGAGTCTGGCCATTTTTGCGTTAAGCAAACGATAAGGAGCTGAAGCCAACAGACATACTGAAAGCATAAGGAAGACAGGAATCGGGGTCTTGGAGGAGACAGAGTGGCCGAAGAACAATGAACAGGGGACAAGGGGCCCTCATCTGAGACAGCAGGGCAGTTAAAGGAAGTAACAGCAGATCAGATTTCGGTCTAATGGAGGGAAGTAGCACAGATGCCCTCCGTCTTCTCTGGAGATGGCCCGTTCCTGAGGAGGCCGGCGGAGCAGAAGACATAAGGAGAACGGAAAAGGTCTAA